TCACTGTTTGGTTTGCACATGCATCTCATATTTCCCTGTTAGCTTCTCTTTATGTTGTGTCATACATTTGCTTCTGCAGCTATGGCCAATACCCATTCATGCAAATAAAGCATATTTGAATTTAAGATAGTGTGTGTTTTGTGTGCGTGCGTGTGAACTGCCATAAAACAAGCGATAGAGGATGACCCCAACCCCCGCCACCTCTTGCACGCACGCGCACAAGCACACGCCTCCATAATCGCCACTACTTGTAGCCTAGAAAGAGAGATGTGGGTCACGGAGGGTGGTAGTGGTTGCGGAGTGGGGGGGGTAAACACACTGTGCCAGTTATCACAACCCGGTAGCCAAGGAGTAATATCATTAATAAACATGTGTAAATTGCTGTTATTTTACTACAGCGCTGGGGCCTTATGGACCTTTCTTATATTTCAGATTCCATTTTACCTTGACCACAAAAACAAGTGCACATTTTCCTCCTGCATCCTCATCTCCGCCGTGAAAGCTGAATACATTAAGTCCTGGACATGAGGCCCAACAAGGACTTCAGACTCCTACTCACTTATTACACTCGAATCCCGAAATCCTCCTCTCCTCTCCTCTGTCCTGTCTCCTAAACCTTTTTATTCAGGGACCGGGAGACCTCTCCGGAACAAAACAGCTTTTAGCGCTACCATCTCGCCCTGCTTATGATTTCGCAAATCTCTCTCTCCCCCCCCCCCCCCCCTCTCTCTCTCTCTCTCTGTCGCTCTCTCATTTCTCCAAAAACTGTCTCTCTGAAAAGAAATGAGCTGTTGTAGGAGCTCATCAAGTCATTATCTGATTAAGGTCATTTTATAACTGCTGCCCCAGAGATTTCTTCTTCTGCCAAATAATATTCATTCTTTCATTAATTCAGGAAACTTAAATTCATGAAATCTCCACCTGTCTGTGTCTGTTCACATTCAATTCACCAGGCTACATAATAATAATAATAATAATAGATAATAATAATAATAATAATAATAATAATAATAATAACAGTGATAATAATAATAATAATGGCGACATTGATCAAAATTCATACTAAGGAAAAATCCACTGGCTCCTCTCCACTTCGACATACCATGCGCCGAGTGCGTGCACTTATTACCACTCAGCACGAGATAAAAATGTGGCTTTATAACACCTCTGGGAGAAATATTGTTTTTGTAGACTCCCTCCTTCTGCATTTGGGCACAGCTCTAATAAATATGTCAGTAAATTCGGCCATCAGTGCGCAATGTCAGAGCGTATTATCAGTCTTGGGCATCGAGGTGTGTCGCACTCGATCCAAAAGAGGTGGTGGTGGTAGGGAGGAGAGAGGGAGTTTGAAACAAATCCACGGGTTGATCCACCTGGAATGGGCCGCGATAAGAGCAGCCAGTGTTAAACCACACGTTTCCTCTACACCTCATCCGAGTCTTCCTTTTCCAAACACGCTTTCTTTAATGTCCCGGCCTGTTTTTCCAGCCTGTGTGCGCACCGACGGCACCCAGGGGAGCCGAGGCCAAATCAGCCACAGGCCAGTTAGGGAGCAGGAGGGGGGCCGGGACACCTGCTTTGGAAAAGCCACTCCAGACACCAAACTTTGCTGACTTCGTTGCAATTCGTTCGTCCTAAAAAACACTTGCTTGCGACATGGAAAAGAGACTCGCCTTTTCCTTTTTGGCGCCTGACAGAGGGGCATATGGAAAATAAGATTTCTCGTTAAGTACTTTAGGATCCTGTTTGTTCAGTAGGATAAAAAAAAAAGAAAAAAGAAAGAAGGAAAAAGAAAAAGAAAAAAGAAAGAAGGAAAAAGAAAAAGAAAAAAGAAAAAAGAAAAACGTGCAACAAAATGGATCCGAAGCGAGAAGCATGGAATAAAAATAGCTGATTTCATGAGCAATTGTGCAAGAACTTTTTAAACCGTTTTAAAAACATTTGTTAAATATAATTTGAGAAAGAAAAAAAATGAAAAATCTAGTTTTTACGTTACTATAATAATAATAATTTTAATTATAATAATAATTTTCTTCTGAAAACTATTATTTGCCAACCTGGAACGTAAGATCAGCAGTATAGATGAATGTGCCATGTACCCTCAAAAACAATCGAATAAAATAATTCTCTCCATCCTAAACATTAAATCCAGCCCCAGTAAAATGTTCGTAATATTAAGAAAAAATTGTGAATATCACCTGTTGTAAATGTCGAAGGTTAAAACATTTGTTTAGCCGCGCGCAAAAGCGGCTGTGTTATGATGAAGCATCCAGTTTGTAAGAAAGCAGGAGGACTGAGAGCGAGCAGCCGTCATCATTTCATAAATCAGAAGCCTCGTGGAAAGGATCAGGTGTCACTGTGCGCAAGGTTGTGTTACAGGTGGGTGGAAAAACTAATAATATGTTGAAAATCATTTGGTTTGCAAACATACAGGTAAATTCTTTTTCTTTATTCTTCTTCGTTTTACCACCAGGTTAGAATTCATCTTTAGGTTTCGAACGGGGGATGTTTTAGTGACAGCAAGCTGACAGAAGCTTCGTGACGATATTCGGCTCTTAATTGAGCTTTTTACAAAAGTGATGTTTAGTTTTCTTCAGACAGTGGCTTCTCTGGATAATCTGAATTCAAAAGCAGAGCTGTAAGCGTGATGTGCTGCTTTGCTTTACTCGTCCATTAATCAGACTTGGGTGCAACCAATGAGAAACCCGCGTGCGTAAAATATCTCTACATGCCATTTTTATCCCCCAATACTCAAGTGACCCCCAACTTGTTTGTCCCCCACGAGAATGCACGGTCTAAACGTGTGGCAGTGTTTTTGCCGGAAAAATAAAAATAAAACAAAAAAGTATATGCGGTATATACCCATGACTGATCTAAAAAAAACTACGCCGTGCATAGTTTCCTCTGACATACAAGGATCAAATTACACAGTTAATATTATTATATTACAATCATTAAAGATGGCTGGGTTTAAAAGAATGCCTAATCGAGTATGATCGAAACTTGAAATTACAGAAGGGTTAAAAAAAAACTGGATTCCAAAAGAGACCTTTAATTTGAAATTTATTGCAAACAAATAAAACGAAGGCTGAAAGATGTCTGGAGACATTTGCGTAAAAACGGTACAACATTTACTGTTAACAATAACTTTAATATGATTTTTAATCCGTTTCGAAATGAATCAATTTATTTGATTCATATTCCCAACAATTATTATTTCAAAAACATTCAAAATTCTTGGCTGAAGCTACTGACACTTTATTCCACATTTCCTGGGACTGCGCAGCACTTAAACCGTTTATTACAGAAACTTTCTTTTTTTTAAAGAATAACCATGAAAATAAATAACATAGCCATGTGTATGTGTGTGTCTGTGTGTTGTGATTTTCCCCGCTGCTTAAGAAGTGTCATGTCAAAGTGTGTAACGATTCTTACTCGCGTCGTCGGTGATTTGTGAAGAAACATTAGTAAGACTGCTATTTCCTTTTTTTTCTCTCTCTCCTCCTCTCTCTCTCTCTTTGGTAGCATGCTCAAGTCCCATTCTCTGGTCAAGTTCAGCGAGTTGTTCTCCGGACCCGACGGACGCTTCTTATTGGTAGGTTGCGACCGTTACATCACGCCGCTCATGACGCGCACGTCTTCCTGTTTCCTTCAGCCGTGTCTTAAAGTGGATCTTAGTGGCGGAGGAGCGCTCCAGCATCCAGTCCTCTGCATCCAGTGCGCCTCGGAGACACACATACACGCGGTCTCGCGCTCTCTCTCCCTCTCTCTCTCTAGCATACTCTCTATGTCTCTCACTCTTTCACACAGCACAGGATAGAGGGAGAGACCGACGCGCAAGAGCTCTTTTCATCTTCTATATTTTTCCCCTATTTTGTTCTTTTCGCTCGCGTCGCCGACTTTATTCCAGCTCTTCATTCCCTGAGACACTGTTATATTCCAGCATACAACAATCCTCGGTGCCCTGCGCGTATTCTCATTTTTCCCCCCCGCAGGAGTTCAGGTTGTCCCCCTCTTCATCAAAAGGGTAAGTAACCTTGTCCTCGGATACCTCCCTCTCTTGTTCTCGTTCTGCCTCGCCTGCGCACGGTGGGCGGAAAAAATAAACAAATCAAACATCGTTAACGGGGAAATTTATTATGGTAATCAACTGCTAATCATTTCGATACGACATTATTTGCTCTGTTTCGTACCCTCATCTTGATCTGTGGTGAGAGTTGCGCGAGCAGCCCGTGTTTGTCTCGAGGATGATTTGCGAGCGGTAGCCCAGCCTTCCTCATCAAAGCACAGAGATCAAGTTGATTTCCCAACTTTAAAAAAGTAAGTTTGGGAAGCGAGTTTTTGTGCGAAAGGAATCGTGATTTCTAACAACGGCTGTTTTTGGTTGGTTTTTTGGTTTTATTTTGGGTTTTGTTTTTTGTTTTTTTAGGCTTCATGTGTTTGGCTCTCCTCCGCGCTTATTGTAAACTGTGAATTTGCTATGACCTCATATTGTCTTTGTCCCATTGGCTAAGTCTTATTTCGACTCATTACGGGTTTTTTTTTAATTGATAAGTCAAACAAAGAGTCTTGCACAGTAAACTACCGAGGTACTCAGCCCTCCCGGTTGGTAAATGGGGTTTCTATCTTGTGCGGTAGCTCTCTAGGACAGATGTGATAAAGCGCAGTGTTTCGATTGTGTGCGCAACTCTTTTGATATCCAAGTCTGTTCGCTGGCAACTAAACAGATATCCAAACCAACAGATTTCAGTCTCACTTGAAGAAATGTTGCCGGACTTTTAGTTCAAACCTTAAAGAATTATTTTTAATTGAGTTTAAAACTTGAACTTTGCTCCTTTAAAAAAAACTTTTTGCATTTTCCTTTTTTTCCGTGAGAGGTTTAAATGGTCCTTTTATGCGTGTATTGTTTATGAGTTTTTAATTAAGGTGTATCCTTTAAGTTTGAGTGAATTTCTGTATGTGAGTATGACAGATGCTTAAAATTGTTGCAAGTTTTTTTTTTTCTTTAAGAGAGAGAACGGGAGAGTGTGAGAGTGCGCATGGGCAATAGGGGACAGGTGCGTGTTCGGCAAAGACAGGTGCTGGTGACTATTTCAAGCAAGTTTCCCCAGACAGTGAAGTGCGTTTTTTCTTCTTTCATTCTTTCTTTTTTTTTTACTCGTGTGGATGTATCAGGTCTTGTCTGTATGCCTGGATATGGCTATCACGACCTGAGCCAAAGGCATTTATCAAATGTTTTATTTTAGAATACTGGTGTCACAGTTTAACCCAGTGTGCATCCAGTAAGTCTGTACTTTCACAGTTTTATCTGCTACAAAATGTAATTTTTCCTCCCTGAATTACATCAAATACCATGTGCAACATGTGCACCACACTGCACAGTTTGCAACAAAGCCAACAGCGATGTTGTGTGTGTGTGTGTGTGTGTGTGTGTGTGTGTGTGTGTGTGTGTGTGTGTGTGTGTGTGTGTGTGTGTGTGTGTGTG